CTTTGTATAATTAATGGAAGGGTTCATGACTTTTAACAATTAATTATTCTTTTTAATTATGAAAATCTTTTCGCCCACTATAAAAAATTAAATAAGTATCTTACTTATAGCTGAAAATATTTTTGACTTAAAATAATTAAATTACATAAAAAAAAGTTTCGGAAATAAGTAAAATAAAATTAAAGGTGCGTTTTTAAATAATTTTGTTTCTTATTATTATTATTATTAATTATTGATTCAAAAAATTCATACAGGACTTATAAAAATTATAAAATTTTGCTTAAAATCTAAATAGACAATAACATATTTGTTGTGTGTGAGATTTGTTAGTATAAAATATACCAAAAAGTACAACTACAACTCGGGCCACATAATCAGATAAAATAGCGAAGCAATCGATCGAACTCTGAACAAGGGACAGAGCCCTGAAGCTATATGCGAAAATCGACAGGCTGCCCTATTTAGCACTATTTAATCTCAGAGTAATTACTAACCGAACGGGGCGGTACACAGATCTTAGATCAGTCATTGAAGAATCACGAAGCTTATGAGGCATACACAAATTAGTCAGTGAGATGGGTGGAATTCTGCAGAAACCCCCAGCTATCAAAGAGTAAAAGTGCCCAGATGTACTAACTCGGAAAAGGGTCAACATTAAATAAATTTATCAATAATTAATCTTTTGTAACTTAAAACAGTTTTCATAAATTTATACAGGTTATTATTATTGCTATTATTTAACAAGACTTTAACTTTATCTACGGATACAAGTACTTTATAAAAAAAAATGTGTATTTTATCTGAAAATCGAACATACTCCATTAATATGACATATATTTTTTCTATTTCATAACGATTAAACAAAGAACAATCATGTTCAGATATATTAAATTCTCTACGATTCAATTTAAAAAGACCACCTACATTTAAAAAGTAGGCTCGGTATGTGCTGAGTGTTTTCGTGATAAAAACTATGCATAATATCATATTGCAGCTGTCGGTACATGATATGAGATCCTGACCTAGGATTTGCGACAAAGGAATCGTGTTCACTCCATTTGTATAAAATTATAATATTATTGTGAAATAATTTAAGATCCATACTCCGAATACTGGTTATTGTAAGACCCAGTTTTGAACACATATTTTCCCAATCTTTGGATTGATATATACTTTTGTCAATAGTAAGTTCACAGCTAGTATTCGAGAAAGCCTTGTAGAGGGGAGATTAAAAATTTTTTCTTATACACACAGGCCAAATTTGTTTGCACTGTGTCTACAAACTGCGTTAGCAAACCCGTTTTTAAATGGAGCAAATAATTTAGGATGTTAGTAGGTTTAAATGGAATTTTTTTTAATTTTGTTTTTAATTACATATATATTTCCTATATACCTATCATTAGTTGTTGATCAGATTACTTGTTCCACGAAACGAAAAAAAATGTGTCGGAAATGCACATATCAAAAGTCTATCCAAAAAAATGTTTAGTTAAGAAGTACTTGATATCTTAAAAGATACTAGTTGCTTTTTTAGGATGACAAAAAAAACTGTTTCCAAAAAAAACGTATTTTAGTATAAAAAAAAATATAAATATTTATTTCGTTTAATTTACACATCCAATTTTACTCCAAGTTTTATGTTGGCATATTTTATAGGTTAATTTATGAAAATGGTTGCTTTATTCGTCATAAATCCCTGTACAAAATTAATTAAGTTCATGTGAAGAGCTTTATTTTGTGCTAACATTGCCTAAATGCATAGCCCATTTATTAAATTCAATCAATACATTAAATTCGTCTGTTTCTGGATAATCTCTATTGCTAATATATTTATTTGTTTCGTTTTGTAGATCTTGAAAAATCATAATTTTGGTGTAATATATTATTTTATATAACCAATTTATAGGGCATATAGGTGGTATAGGTGTTATCTTAAGGATCATATTAATATACATATATAATATATAATAATCAATTACACAATTAGCCCGTAAAAAACAAAATTATTATTACATATATTTGGTCATTAAAACAATAAATTATTAATAATCAATTACAGAATTTTATTGTTCGTTAAATTGGATGTTTGTTAAATTGGGTATTAGTCATTTTGAACGTAGACTGTATATAAAAAAATTAACAATATCATATTTGCATCAGTCTTATATGTTTTTAAATTAAATTTTATTGTTATGCTAATAAGTTTTATAATTCTCATTCGCTACAATTACTAAATTGAATAAGTGCTAAAGCCCTGATAAAGACTGAATGATGATATTTAATATAATAATGGTAATAATATTTTTTATTATCTTTATTTAAATGCTTTGATTATATTCTTATGTATGTAATATATGGAATACTTAAACTATGAATTGTTAAATAAGTGTATGTGTATATATATCTCAATGTTTTAATTTTTTTTCATTATATTTAAAATAATAGTCAAAGTTGAAGTACTACTATGTGTATATATATCTCAATGTCTTAATTTTTTCATTATATTTAAAATAATAGTCAAAGTTTATTCAAAGTTGAAGTACTCACATCTTTATTCATAGTTCAAGTCAAAGATACTTTTTCTACATCAATCATCAGTAATTTTTTTTTTAATTAACAAAATTTACTATTGACAAGAAACTCTAGTTTAGTTTAATACGAGTATCTACAACCCCAACAAATTTTGATTGATGAACAGAATTTTTTTTGCAACTTTTTGTATTAGCAAATATTTGCTATTATACCAGTTTGAATATTTAAGAAGAAATTGTATGGTGTTGCGGGATTTTGTTTTTGTAGAAGTAAAACATATCTTAATATAAGTAACACTTATATGTAAATAATGTTGAAAGTTTTTTATATTGATCACTAGATGTTTTTTATAAAATAAGTGCGTATTTTCTCCAGTTCATGTATCTATTTATGAACACTGATTTTAAAAATGTGTGGCTTCAAAAAGATGTGTCGTTAATTATGGATACGATAAGTTTCAATTAATGTGTAAACATTTTTAAAGTATTGTTTAATATTTATTTTTAATAATATATACTTTAGCATGAAATAAGTCTTCAAATATAACATCTGATAATAGTGAAAAAGTTTCTCCATTAAAAGTTTAATCCATTATTAGTGGTCTTTGGCAATATATGTTTTAATTCTCCATATATAAATATTGCATCCAAGTTACAGGAACGAAATGAATTCTGTCCCCTATTAACCGTAGATTAGCATGATAACACACAAATCCAGCTTATACTCTTACACCTTATCTGAATTATTTGAATTCAGATTTTTTTTTTAGCTTCTGTTACTTATTTGTAAACCACAATTGTATTTACCGTGCTATATTTAGAAGCACATAAACCACAGCTATATAAATTTATTTAATTGTAAAATAATGTAATTTTGGTTTAAATTTTTTAAGTTTTTACGTCGAAAGTATTTTAAAGTCGGTTTTGTTATTTAGAAGTTTAATTTTTATTTGGGTGGTATGTTTTGCATATTCCTATACGTATTTCGGCAAATTCGCTTTTGCCTTCATCAGGAGACTTTCTAATATTTGCCGAAATACGTATAGAAATATACAAAAAATTCATTGAGAGAGTTAAAGGCCATATCTAAATCAAACTAAGAAAAATGTATCGATGAAAAACCCCTAGTATAGTTGCATTGCATTTGATGATAACTAATTTATGGGCGATAAAATACATTTTGATACATCTTTTCACAGAGAATATGTGTCTAATATTTCATAATTATTACATAATATTAGTATAATTATTATGATCATAATTATAAACTCAATTATGAACTGCAATATATACCAAATATATTTCAATTTTTATCGTTTCATTAATATAAAAGCTTTAATAGATGTAATTAGATGTAGACAACTTCAGATAATGTTTGATAAATATTTCCTAAAAGTCAAAATAATAATAAATATTATTATTAATAATTAATAAAATAATTATGAAATATCAAAAATCAAGAGATTATTTTATTATATGGTATAAGTTAATTATATAATTATTATAATTATATAAGTTAATTACATAATTATTGTAATTATATAATTATTAATAAAATAATAATATATTCAATTACCCCAAAAATCAAATGTCGTTAAATCGAGCTGATCAAAAATGCTAACACTCTGCAAAGCATTTCAAGCTATGAGTGTAATATGTGTAAAAAATTGTATGACATACTATAGTATGATTACAAATACGACTTGAAAACCGATTAGAGAATCGTATTATAGAAGACTCTACAAGAAGAGTCGCGGGTAGGGCACCATTTTCTCTCGATAAAAGAATTATTTTCGATCAGGCAGAGGACTCGAAAAAGGAATCGAAAAAGATTCGAATATGATCAATAATTTCATAAAATACTGGGTGCTTGGTACTTTATAAAATCTCATTTAATGTGTTACAAATGCCTTAATAGAGTTAATAAACAATATGCGTGTATGAAGGGTATAAAAAACTGCATATCATGTGCATTTGAATAACTCACAAAAATGCTTGAACTCAATTATGCGTAGTTTATCCGACAAACAAACAAAAAAATTATTTTCTTTCTGTTTATTTTTTACTATTTATTCTTTTTACCACAAAAATACTTTTTTAACAATTCAACCGATTTTGTGGGTGGTTTTATGTGTTTTTTGTATCCAATAAAATTTAAATAATCACTTCATTTCTGTTTATGTAAAACTATTTAAAAAATTAAGTATTGAAAAAATAAGTTCAAGTTCATTAAAAAATCTTGTGGCGATTAAATTAACAACTTTATACTTTTTGCTTTTTGGAATTAGAAACAAAGAGTTCAAAAAGTGGGTTTAAAGAAACATATAAAAAATACTGAAATTAAGATTCTTCAAATTTTATGATGGCACACAGCATCAGCACCACAAAATTTGTACGTTTTCCGCAGATAAAAACATTAATCGCGCTGTTTTTTGCTTAATTTAAATATAAAATGATTAAATTTTTTAGCGAACCACAATCAAATTGAACTAAAACGTTTTAAAACCCTCAATTGTTGTGATAAAATAAAATTAAAATTATAAAATATTAAATGTGATTTGTTTTAAATAAGAGAAAATTATAAAAAACTTTAAACCAAGCGTAAAATGGTGAAAATGCTTGACTTGGATCGTCATGCTGATTGTCCATTGTGGGAGGCATTGGCGTCATCGTCTGTACCCTGGACTGGGGTCCGCTATGCCTGCCTCAATGTCTTGCATGCCTACTGTAAAGTGTTTGACAAGAAGGAAATTTATGATCTCATTGTAAGGTAAGAATTTTTCATCCATCCTACTAAAGGGAAAAGTGTTTAAGTTGTGTATGTAATTTTCACATTGTGAACGTCACTTCACAAAGTCGTAAAAATTTATGTTACAAAAATATTACGTATTAATGATATTTTAAAAGGAATTCGCTATAAATGAAATGTTTTTGGGCATATTAAATTCGAAACATTTACTAAATGATGGGATAAACTTTTTGGTTTTTCTTGTTTTTAAGTAAAAAGTTTTTATTATAATAAATGAAGTAAAACAAAAATTGGTGTATTATCAGGAAATTTGTGGATGAATAGAATAATTTGTTTAATAGAATGAATTTATTCTTCATTAAATAACGTGATTTGTATATGAAGTTTATCATTACTTGATAACCTGTTATAAAATTTTTGCCTAACATTTTAAATGAGACGGTTTTGCAACTTGATTAAGTTTATGTCCCTAAAAGTGATAAAATTTCACAAACTGCTATAAATTCTATACATACAGTGTACATATAGTTTTCAGATAACATATTAAAATTTGTTTTTTATTAAGAACACCTTTATTATATAGTATATAGTAAAATTTTTCAAGCAATATTATTGTTTATTTATTTAAATCATAAATACACCAAAATAAAATATCTAAGGGAGTAGAAAGTAGTAACAACAGAAACATTCGATTTTTGAAATATATTAAATATAATTTAATAATATAATAAAAATAATAATAATAAAAAAAAAAAGCAATCAAAATAATAATTATGATATTACTATCATTACTATCACTACATACATAGTAATATCTAGCTATTACATATAGATATGAGTCAAAACTTCCTTCATAGTGTTTCTACACGATTAATGGCCATGATTTCATAATTTCACATATTCATGACTCTTAAACTTGCTTCTTTTCCATCGATCCCGATACTATTTTAAGACTGTTCAAAAGAAAAACTGGAAGAAAAGGATTAAGTAATGATAGTATATCTTTTTGCTCTCCAATATCCACTCCTGGATGTTAGTTTTATTATTTTTATTTTTTTTTTTTAAATTCATTTACATTTATTTACAAATTACGTAAAAATTCAAAGATACAAAATTTGTTGAGCACCACATTTCAGAAGGTTGCATTTTTTCATCATTGCAACTTATACTTCACACAATATTGAAGACAATTATTATTATTATTATTAAGCCATGTGTGGCTTCTTATAATTCCACACAGTATAATTGTCTTTATACTGGACATAGATTATCTATAAATTATCTATAAATAATTTGCATTGCCTTCTTTGTAACGCGACGTCTCACAGTTCACTGATGCTGCTGTAGTTGTTTCTGTTGGACCCTGCGTTAATGTTAATATCGTTTAATGTAGATCTTCACCAAGTCACATTTCCGATATACATATTGCAACGTATTGAAATCAATACATATTGTATATTTGTATTTCATACATTTCATTCTTAGTTTTGTATTAAATTCCCAGTTAGTTAGTACCTTTAAAAAAAATATTTTTGGCTATTTTTATTTAGTACCTGTTTTCCTTATCGGGACTTCACATGAGCAAATGACGAACGTAAATACTTGAAGTACTCTATACGTTAATTTAAACAATCATTAATAGTAAAGGTTAATGATAAACGTTTAGATATTAATTTTATATCATTTATTTGTAATCCATAATGGTTACTCTTTTGATTTATCATATTTTTTAATTATGGTCAATTCTCTAAGTTATCAGCTAGAAGATATTATCAAAACTTTTTCTTGACAATATCAGCAATATCGTCAATATTCAAGACATTCAAGATTCAAGATAACAATATTCAAAAAAGAATATATTTATGTACTGTTCATTTATTTTAATACATTTATTTAAATGCCAATAGACTTATAATAGATATGTTATCTAATAAGTATTATAATTTTCATTTATATCATATATGTATAAATCGTAAAGCCCTAAATTTAAATTTATTTTTTGCTTTCAATACAACGAATAACTTCACAATGTACCGCTAGAGTTTTTTATCTCAAAAGCTTTAGACCAAAAAGCTTATTGTTCCATTAACATTATGTTATCATGAGATTTTATTTAACATTCTGTTATTGTTATGTTAAAGTTATATTTTTTCCTGAACTAAATATGAGCATAAAGCTGAAATATTGCTGATATTAATAATAGATATATACAGTGTGTTTGTGATTTATTCAGCATAAATACGTAAGATGTTTATTTAATTCAAGATACGTACGAATTCCTACTCTGGGGGTGGTGTATTTTCCATATTATGCGATATATAAGGTGTTTAAAAGACCTCTGCTTGTAATAATCACGTATAGTCCAAAAATATTATCTCAAAGCGGGTAACCTAAACATTTCAAATTGTATATCAAAATTCTTTAGTCCATTAAGTATCCTTCAGTTTTATACTTAACACATCCTTGAATTTAAATAAGTATGAAAGCAATAGTCAATTAAAGTTGGTTTTTGATTGGAAAATTCTGAATCATTATTGAGGAAAATATTATTACTAAAATAATAATTATTTCAAAAAATGTATAATGAATATCTACAGTTCTATATATCTACAGTTCTATCGTAAATGAAATTAAGTAATAAATTTAAAAATAAAATTTTCCTAAAAAAATAAAAAATATCATATAAATTACTTATAAATATAAATTAATATGTAAGTTTCAATACTTCACAAAAAAATTATTATAAAAAAAAGAATACAGATAGATTAGGGTATAAGGTTTAACATAAAGTTTTAAACGTTTAAATCCATATTAAAACTTAACCCAATTTCAAAATATCTATTTTTTAAAACATTTAGCAGAGATATTTAATATAAATATTTAAAATAAATATATTAATGTGTATTTTGTTTTTTATTTTTGTAGAAAAACTTGCCAATCCTGCAAATGTCCCCGCGAAGCACATGCAATTTACCAACAGCAAACCACAACAGTGCAGGAACGTTTGGGTTTCAAAGTAGTATCACCTGCAGATTCTGGTGTAGAACCACGCGATCTAGGCTATACATGGGTACCACCAGGTATACGTGCCTCATCGCGTATTAATCGTTACTTTGAACAAATTCCACAAGATAAAATACCTAAAATTGGAACTGAAGGCGCACGCTATCGTGAACAACAGATCTCATATCAATTACCGAAACAAGATCTATCGCTGGAGCATTGTAAACATTTAGAAGAACAGCATGAAGCTTCATTTGAAGATTTTGTAACTGCACGAAATGAAATTGCCTTAGATATAGGTAATAAGATAATATAGGAATTTTATTTTATTATATTAAATATCTTTATTTAACATATATATATACTTCAGGTTATATAAAGGATGCACCATACGATGAGCATTGCGCACATTGCGATGGTGAAATTGCAACTGGAGAAATGGTTGTGGCTGCGCCGAAATTTGTGGAGAGTGTTATGTGGCATCCACGTTGTTTTACTTGCAGCACGTGTAACGAATTATTGGTGGATTTGACGTATTGTGTCCATGAAGATAAAATCTATTGTGAACGTCATTATGCGGAAATGTTAAAACCACGCTGTGCTGGCTGTGATGAGGTAAGCATTTTATATAAAACTTATTACCGTTTTGTACTATCACTATTTTAAATCTATTTTACCTCTCCTTTAAATTGGTTTATATATTTTTTTTTTTTGTTTTTGGAATAATACTTACACTTAGCACAACACACCTTTTTCTAATAAAATTACTCAATGGCAAAGTGTAAATAATAAAACCTGATTTAATATGTTTTTGATTGTGTATTTAGTGATTTTTTCAAATAGTTTCACATTTTTAATCAAATTGTCTACATAAATAGTGTCGCGTGTCCTTCTGTTATTTAATACGTTTCTATGGAATACTGTTTTTGATATAAAAAATCATCGTAGAAAGTTATTTAAGTGAATTGATATGCATTGACTAATGATTGAAATTAATACGTTTTTGTAAATACAATTAAATTGAAATATATTATTAAAGAAAATTATATTGAATTTAAATATCTATATGCTCATAATAATAATATTCCTAAGAATAGAATACAATGTATGTTTAATAAGTTTAAATATAATATAATAAAATATATATAATAATATAATATAATATTTATAACTATATATATAAAAAGATGATCCTTGAAATAATAGTGCATTGTTATAAATGTGATCTTCCAATTATCAATAGACATGTATGAACATGTAAATGAGCAGACAATCTGTCTTTATGATTTTTATTGCTAGAAATTCTTTTTATAGTAAAATTAAATGAAATTGTATTGAACTTAATTGGTAATGAGGTTTTTTCTTCTAGTCTATTTGGATAAAAGTAAGTTCGTCCTAGGTTTTTTATTCTGCCATACTCTTTAGTTGTATCTATGATAATTATTATTAAAATAATAGTAACACCAAACACTGAATGCAACGCAAAATTTTCTACCAATACTATAATACTTCAATATATACATTTCTTTAATGTATAAAGAACCCCACAAGATATGTTTTAAGATTTCGTTACTCATACGCCTAGATGAAAAAAACTGAAAATAATTCTCCTGAGAAGAGTGATAAAAAAATCAACACAGAGTAAATACAAAACTTCTTCATAAGTAAAGTTTCTAAAATAATAACGAACATATTGTGTTAGAGTTATAGACAGATTATATGCCAGATTAAACGATACGCTATACACAATTTTATAACATTACATTTTTGTTTTAAAATAATAATAGTAACAATTATAATACATATAACTCAGATATCATTATTGGAACAATAAAAATAACAGGAACAATAGTAACAATAATAATAGGTATATGTATATGTATTCAGATATCATAATTGGAACACTAATGTTATCATGACTGTAACCTTTGTTTGATTTGATTTTACAAAATACACTCAACACTAGTATTATTAAATATTTTAACATGTTATTATTAAATAAATAAAATTGAAAAAATATTATTTAAAAAACATCGCAAAAATAAAAATAAAAACATAAAGATATTTTTTGGAAGGGTTAAAATAGAGATCGTAGTGTAAAAAGGAACAAATGCTCAATTGATTTGTGTACCTTTTCCAAACGCCTCTTCTATATGTTATGTAAAAGGAGACATATGCATTTTTAAGGTCTTAAGTGGGACCTACCATAAAGAAGATTGAGAAACTCTTCTCTACATCGATTATTGTTAAAAACGAAAAATTTTTCGCATGATTTTTTTTTTTGTATTAAACCACGATTTTGTGCCATTTCAAAATAAAATCCATATTTTGTTTATTATTTAAATTCAAATAAAAAAACAATTATGAGCTTTTTTTTTTGAATGTAGGGCTAGTTGGGCTAAGCATGCCACTCAGTCAGTCAGTTAAACCCAAAAATAAAATTTAGCACTAAACCAGATTATGCTACGTTAACTCGAATTGCTTACTTTCCTAAATGAACACAAATCATGCTTAAGACTTCATAGTCCAACAATCTTAATCTAGTTCTAATCAATAAGCGAATGCTTGTCCCGACAAAGATGTATTGTATATAAAACATAATTAACATTTCACATAGTAATGTAAAAATTTTTTTACTCATTAAATTTAAATCAATTCTTTCATCTGCATAGTAACCTTAATCGTATTTTTTTTCTTTCTTCAAAATTATCTCAAAGTAAAACTGATGTCACTTTCTTACAAATGTTGAAAGTATAAACCCTTCCCAATGAAAATAGAAATTGCGATGATTTTTGGATGGAAAAAAAAAATTCTTATGTTTAGTATAAATTTCCTTCCTTTTTCCTTTTCCTTCAATCACTGCGTTTTATGATACTCCGTAAATGGTCAATTGCCATTAGCAACATTTTTTTTTCTTAATGCCACAATTTTTTTTTTCTCATTATCCGCCAAAAGGTTGCCAATGAAATGAAGGTGATACAATTTTACAATATTTTTAATTATTTTATACTTAGAAGACAGCAACAAGGCAAAGAAATTTGAGGAGCGGCCCTTTAGTTTCGAAAGACTTGTCATTCAATTGATACTTTTTTCCTTGCATGACATTTAACAGGAAACCAATTTTGTTGCCGTAAATTGAAAATATTTCATTTCGAAATGCACCGACATAGAGTAAAGTGGTTGTTAGTTTATTATTTTAAAATAGTTGAAAACGAAAATTAAATAAAATATTAATCCGGAAAAGCATATGCAGTCAATTAACAAGTGAGTTTATACAGTTCTATAATAAAATTTATTTTTGTGTGTCAAAATTAAAAATTAATTAATTGTGTTCAAAAGTCTTTTAAAATATTTGTGTGGATTCCATATATAATATAAAGAATTTAAAAAGAATAAAATAATAAATATGCCATTAAAATGTGGATCAACCAAAAATTTTGTGCATCTTAAACTATTTGTATCTGAAATATATTGAGATTTATTGCATTTTTTTTAAATATCTGGCATATTTCGCATCTCTTAATGTGATTTTAATATATTTTAAAATATATCGTTACAAAAACATTGAAACCAAAATATATGAAGTGTTAAGTATTTAAAAGTTTCACATCCTTAACGATAGATACTTTATGTAATTATTTCTAATAACGAACAATAAATAAATTGACACAAATTCATTGAAGTATATTTATTTTGATGTCATTTAGTCAAATTTAAATATTCTGATTTAATTAAAATATCGGAGTAACAAGTTTATCCATATGTCAAATATTTATTTACAATCTCGGATCATATTTAAATATTTATATATTACTGAAAATATCGAATGCTAGAATAAAGAACTTGAGTTCTGTATAAACATCTATATACAATGTATATCACACCGAAACTATTACCTTTATTTATTATTTTTTATTATAACAATTAAATAATACATTTTTTTGGGACTTAATTCTTAAATCATTCTCTTACTCACAATATTAAATGTTTCCAAATTGTTTTATTTATTAAGTTAATAATATTGGGTATAACAATAAAATAAAAACAATATTAGAATATGAAATGTTTACTTGTATTAATCCTAGTTGTTTTATTACAAAAGATAAGAATAAAAGGCATAGTAAAAAAATATTTTCTCTACAAATATCAAGGAAGGTTATCATGCATCGATATTTTGAGCCTATAGATAAAAACATGTAATTTTATAATAGAAAATTGGTTTGTTATTTTTTATATATATTCCACTTGAGATACTTCCGAAATATAGTTTTTGAAGGCATCAAAATTGCTACCCACTCAATTTGTCTTATAATGTGTGAAACCGAGACAATATAATTGGGTTTCTATATCAGGAATTCGTTATGAATTATTTCGATGAACGAAAAAGTGTTATTATATTTGGGACATCCATTCAGTTTAATGTAAAGCTTATACAAATAGAATCATAATCAATCATCGGTTGTAGTCTTATACGCATCATTTGAAGAACAATTTTTGTATTTTTTACGCATATCTTGGCACCAATTGACTTGAGTATGTTTTTGAACCTTTGCTAATTGTCTGGAATCTGTCCAAAGCAAATCTTTTTAGCGTTATAAACACGCTTAAGGTTATCAAAATAAATTTAGTAATAAATCATATTAATTTTAAGCACGAAAATGATCGTGAATTAGTTCATTTTTTTTCTGAAACTTGACTTTAAAGTTACTGTATACAATAAAAATTGCTATTAAAATAGTAAAAATTGTTATACATTTCAGTACACAGTCGACGGCTAAAATACCATAGCTTTATATATATAATATAATTGTTATAAATTTCTGTGTAATACAACAAATTTAAAATGAAGGAAAAAAAGCTGAAATACTACTACTACACTTTTTCAGTGCAAATGTAAAGATGTCTTTTTCTATAAAAAAAAAATTAAATTTAATCTAAATGTTTAATAATAAGGTTTAGTTAAAACATTTACTTATCAAAATTACAATTATTTGGTCTTAAAAGATACATCACATCTGAATGTTAAAGGCATTAAAATTTACGAGAATGAAAGATATCCGAAAGGTTAGTTACAATCACAGCTGTGCACTACTGATTACTTTTGTAATTATATGACCATCTATTTTCAAATACCTTGTAATTATAATGAAATTGGTAATGGAACTGATCAGATGTAGCAAATGTAAGGAATATCGACTAATAACTTTTGTAAGTTTTGTCTTTAAAATGTATCCAAAAATCTTGCACAATCATTAAATGAACAATAAAAAATCATGAACTGTATCTAATCCGACTTGTAAAAGCAATGGAAGCATTTGAAGCTTTATTCAACTTGTAAACCTTATAACATGTTTTCACTTAAAATACCATTGAACATTTGCGAAGTAATTAAGATATGGAAAACATACTCTTAGTTTAAAATTGCTCGGAAAAATATACTTTTCTATGCTTCATAGATAACGAAAATGCATTCAACTATGTAGTGCATTCAAAATTAACTAAAATTATGGAAAAAATTTAGATGTATTCATCATTTTTATTGGAAGTAAACTGTAAATTTCAGAATTAAAAACCGATTAAAAAATAAAATTAAAATTCGAAAAGAATTGATGCAATGTTGTTTATTCAAATCGGAATACATATTTCAAAAAGTTCTAGCCTTAAAT